TCGTGAAGAACAAAGAGACGACGGGAAGAATTTTGCAGGAAAAAACTTCGCTGCTGGCCAGAAAATATTTCCTATACCTCCCATACCAAAGGTGACATCAAGGTAAATATAAGGCGGACGGACTAGACAGTCCATTTTTGGATCTGGTTGATCGTCAGAATGCCAAGAAATGGCAGCAAATTGGTTTCGAAGAAGAAAATGAAGAGATGAAGATAGAGGATAAAAAATGCGAAACATTTATAGGGGGTGAAGATGAAGAGACAGAATACGAACAACCACATTTCTGTTTAATAGACGGAATTAAATGGCCCTAAGTCTTGGGAACAGTAGTGGGAATATCAAAAGGGAATGGACAAGATTCTTAGTGCAAAGCAGTTAAGTGATTAAAGAATTGATGATTAGAAAATAAACGTCAAATAAATGCACAAGAAGTTAATGTTCGTTAATAATGAACAAAAATTACAAAAGAGAAAAAGACATTGTATGTCTTAATTACAGTCTACCCCATAAGGAACGAATTCGTTCCCTAAGTTTTTCCCAATCCTCGTTCTGCTGGGAGGAAGTGATGTTCAATTCAGCTGCAACGTCATCATCATCAACCTCCAACTTTTTGTATTGTTCGACCAAGGATTTAGTTCGCTCAATCCCCTGAGAGGCGTTGCGCTTTTTAGCAGCCATCCTTGCCCTGCAATTGTCCATTTTGGCTTGAAGTTCCCTCATCTGAGCAGCCAGGCTAACCATCAAAGAGTCTTCAATCATGACTTCGGAAGAGATTTCTTTCAACTCGTCCTTAGCCTTGTTGATCTCCATGCGTAAAGACTCTTTCTCAGCCACAGCTCGAAAATATTGAGTACGCTTGGCCTTTAGTTCAGCATTCTTGGCCAGCATAGAAAGGACCTCGGAGTGAATGACCTTCAATGTTGCTTTAAAGTAAACAGAAAGACTGAGCGACGGAAGCGTCAGTGCTTGTTCTAACTTCGCACTCAAGTGCTCAAGTTCATCCTTGTGTTTGGCAGCACTAGCCCTTCCAATGTCCATATCCATGAAGGATACGTACTCAAATACCAACTCCTTCAAGAACTTCAAATCATCCTCTGAAGAAGCAGCAGGACAATCAGATAGAGCAGGCGAGGCATTTGGACCTGCCCCCAAGAAGCGAACAAATCCTGGATAGAACGCACAATCCTGTCAGCATCCTGCAAAGAAGGTTGCCAATATTAAAAATCTTCACCACAACGAACAAGGTGGAAATAGAAATGAAGCAAAAAGAAAGACTACCTCGTCGACAATCGTAGAAGATGGCGCGCCCTCAGCCAAGCTTGCCACCAACGACTCATCCATTCGTGAGGACTTCCCCTTGTCCGAGCGAGACGACGTTGCCACAACGGGCGGACTCATAGGAGTATCTGCAAAATTCAAGAGCAACAAATCAGAAACCAATAGCACGAGCAAAGGTAAAACATCAAAAACTGAATTACCTTCTGCTTCGATGATTGGGGGGTCGACGCCCTGGGAAGAAGGTGGCTCATCCATGGGTTGTGATGAAGACTCTGGGACTGCAGATGTATCTTTAAGCATGGTCCCATCATCAACCGGTTTGGATGAAGTAGCTTCAGCAGAGGATGATGGAGCAGGAGTTGTTGATGCCAAAGCCTTTGAAGGGGAGGCTGAACTTTTCTGAAAAGTCCAAAAGATCATCAGTACACAGAAAAGTTTCAAATGTGGAAAAGCATACTTGTAAATAGACCAATCTAATTACCTTCCTCCTGATGATAAGAGGGGCATCATCATCATCATCATCAACATCATCCTCCAGAATGGGAGATGCTGAGGCTGACCGTTTGCGGCTTGGAGCACTTTTGGCCGTAGTAGGCTTAGCAGGGAGAGAAGAAGATGGACGAGCAGACTGTTTAACGCGACGAGAAGGAGATGGGCTCCGAACAGACAAAGGAGTAACCAGACCAGGGGGAGGAGAAGAAATGCTCGGTTGGTCTAATGAATGAAAAGCACGATTGGCCTCAGTCGCAAATAATCTGCGCTTCACCGATGGCTAGAGTTGTTCAAAAAGAGGATGAGTAGCATGACAAGAATTAAAAGGGACTAATGAAAAGTGGCTTGACAAATGGAGGTTGCGAGCGTTTATAACCTCTGCTTCCGCCTTATTAATGGTATGAAAACGGCCAGTTAAGCTCTTCGAATAGCAAAGAGGAACAGGCCAAGTTTGGCCAAAACCAAGCTGACGAGCAAAAAATTGGGAGCATAAATTTCTACCCCCGCTTTGGCATTGGTCCCAGTTAAGATATCATGGAAAAGCTCCCTCCCAGTTAAAAACTGGATCCAAATGAGCAGAGAGGTGCTCGCGCTATCTATAGTGGAAGGGGGATGTACATAGTTTGGAGTCAAAAAAGGAGGAAAAGGAAAGAAGGAAGAAATTGAATCTAAAGAATAAAAGAATGAAAAAATGTCCCTTCTAGACATATTTACAGGAGTTAAGGGCTCCATAGCTAGCCCGTAACAGCTAGCAGAAGGACGAGAAATGGATGGAGCACCAAGCGATGGAAAATAGGATCTCAACCATAGTTGAGTGAACCAAAGAGGTCCACTGCCAGTAGGAGATGCACCATTCTTCAATTGAGCCTGAAGAAAAGCCATACCTCTATAAAGGGCAGCCAAAAACAAAGAACATAAATTCAAAGGCCTGCCACGCGCCAATTCGTGCGCTATAGGTAAATAACTCAGAGAAGGCTTTATACTTGGCACACACAAAACATATTTACAAAGCCAAACTAAAAGAAAGGCTACTCGCTCAGCATGGGTAGGTTCAGCGCTTGAATGATTATGGAGGGTCTGCAGGCTTGAATAAGAATCGGTATAGTTTTTACCGAACTGTGGGGTGCTACCAGAAACTAAGATACCTGGGAAAATGGTATTACCCAAAGGTGGTAAATTCACCAGGGCCCCAACATCCCTTAACGTAATGGACATGGGGCCAAGAGGAAAAATAAAGGTGTTGTACTCAGAGGACCAAAAACTCAAGGCAATCGGAAAGAGCGCTGAATCAAAAGTAGGGGGGGCGAATAGAGACTTCTAATAAGTCAGAAATCCTAGCGCTATCAAAAAGTGCCTTAGTAGGGCCATGACCCACAAGGCGAGCATGCCACCTACGAAAAGCTACATCAGATTTAGGCCAAGTGCGAATACCTCTTTCGCGAAGTGGCCCCAGCGGTAGAGAGTTTAGAAAAGGAGGGCCATGAGTGCAAGGAAACAGCTGACCCACCACCGCCTGTTCAACTGCCTCCGCATTGTTGAAGAAAGGACCCAAGTAAAACTCATTACGTCCAACGTCGGCGGGCGCGAGAAAACTTGGGGTTATGTATGGGCGACTCAGAAGTTTCTGAAAGTCATCAAAACTAAAGGAATCACTAGTTTGAGATTGTGAAGCAGCCATTGGAGGATGAACGAAGTTTTTCGGGGTTACGTAACAAGGAATCAAAAGATGAACAGTGAATCGTGAAAGAGATGCAGAAAATATGAGGCGTGGTTTGGTAGCAATGAAATGGCGTGTTTGGGGTTTATAAGGGTCTGCAAAACGACGCACTTTTTCAAGTTATAGAAGGAAACAATGATTGAAATTCTTGGGAGTTTCGAACGTCGCCGGGAACATGAAGTGAATATGGCAAAATTCAATAATTATTATTAATTCTGCCATATTGGGGGGTAATTGTTGACACATAAAAATTCAGCCCAAGTCGAACAGCCCAAGGAGTAAAGCCCAATTGGAAAATCCCCAAATCGGATGGCCCAAAGAACGAAGTCCAATCGAACGAGTCAAGGTGAAGGCCCAAACAAGGGGCCCAAGAATGCGGTAACGCCATCGCCCAAGTTTGCAAGTCACACAGAATCTGAACGAATGGAGTGTCATACGGTCGTCCAGAGTTGTTATTCTACTCTCGTCCAAACCTTCAAGTCGCCCAAGGTATCAACAAACATAACGCATCGTGGTTATCAAGGAATGCAGTTATCAAGGCAGTTGTCAAAGTAGCCTTATCACGTTCCACGACTCAAGGAATTCAATCGAAAGCGGTTGAACGATGAAAGATAATGGCAGCAGTTAAGAGGCAGTTTCATGACAAAATGACCACTACAAAGAAAGTGGGTGGTGGTTATAGGACGATCAAGCAGTTTTCAGAGTAGTTAATCAGAAAGAGATCGTCTATGAGGTATAAAAGGGAGAAAGGACGCAGAAGCAAAGGACCGAATCCAAAACTCTCGAACAGAGAATATGTAATTTTCATTTCCTTAGTTTTTAGACTTAAACATCTTTCTTTCTTTAACTCGTGTGCTTGCGCCCCTTGGAGGCACGTTGTTTTTCATCCCCAATTGTAAAGTTCATCGCCAATAAAAGAACACCCCTTTTTGGGACTTTGTCTCAAGAGGTTTCGTCCCTTACACAATCGTTTGACCCTTTTTAATTGTTAGCGACTTAACCCGCGCGAAACACTATGTTTTGCAAACTAAATAAAAAATAATTGAACTTTTATAATTGGAGGACATAATATTGATCAAAATTAATAGCTCCTGTTTTTTAGTAATCATGGATTTCAAATTTCGCCAAATTCGTTGTCTTCATATTTAATTCTACAAGGAAAATCTGATATGTCACAGCAGTTTTACACAGCATATATCAAAATATACCAAAATCAAATTATTGATACAAATACAAATACAAATACAATGGCTTCTTTCAAATATCAAGAAAATCTTTAATTTTCATTTCCCATCTTTCCTTCCTCCCCAAGTAATCATGTGTCAACGCACCGGAGCGAGCGTCTTAATATCGTAAAATGGCCGAATATCAAGCAAAACCATGATCTGATGCCTAGAGTCCCATAAAATGAGAACTTGAGTCCAAGTTTCTACTTTCTACGGGGAATCTAGGCTCAATCATTGTTGGCTTTCCTTCTTCCTGGCCAAAGTTTGGAGTTGATTTGTATCAAAATGTGATGCTCCGTCAACTGCTAAATTTGAGGCGTCCAACGCATTCTGATCTTGATTTGTTACACGTTTACTCTCCCGCAGCTTCCCGGTTTTCCCGATTGCAAGAATGAGTTCAAGCTGTTTTTGCTGCTGCTCCTACATTGAACTCAAATACGTAGTAGACACCACATTAGCGATAGAACTCATAAATTTTACAGGGAATATGGTACTCGCCATTATCAATATAACAAGGCATATATTGCTCAAGTAAATGATGCTGGAATTTGAATATGTTCCCACTAATTATTATGTTACAGTCCTCAGTGCAAAAAGGTTTTTCATTTATTTTGAACATGTATTGGGTTTTTAGCTAGGGTGGAGGCTACGTGAATCTTTTTCCACCACTTCATTAGGTTCATTATTAGATCTATTCAAAGATTTTAAAAAATTACATTCTTTCCAACCAAAACATGCACAAAATAAGAAAAAGGCGTCATTCTGTGTCAATTTCTTTCAGATGGAATATAGAAATCTGAAAGGAAGCTAACAGTTTCTGGGAATCTAAACAGCCTAAAGTAACTTCTTTGGATTTGACAGACCTCAGAAAAATTGCCGAAAATGTAGTCAACTTAGCACTCACATGTTCAACAAGGTAAGTGATTGTTTGAGACGCCAGAACAAGAATTTTTCAACTTTCAAAGCATCAAACAGTGCATCATTTCCCAGTAAGAACAAAAAGGAAAGAACTAGATAAACAAACGACTGTACATGCCAAAGAGAAATATGCTCATTTGACTAGTGCCAATGAATGCACGAGGAGCAGATTGAAAAAGGAGCTAGCTTTGACAGATTACCAAGGGAAGCTGCATAGAAACATCAAAAAGTCCTGATCCTGCAGGCACAAATTTGACAGACCCTTTGCTAGAAGGTTTATATCTTAGGTAACAAGTGATATCTCTATGAGCTTTCCCACAGAACATTAAAGCACAAATCCTTCTGATAGGACATCTCTGAATTGTAATAACTCGCTATAAAACTCCTTCCAGAATGTTGGTTAGATTAATCAAGATAAAAGAAGATTGGGGTCCATTACTGTGACTCTAAATGAAACTCTCTCCCTGGTTACTGGCAAATTGTCACCAAATCACTAGGCCTGTCAATTTTTATGAAGAACCATCCATATCTTTGAATGGGCTACGCCTGTCAAAAATATTTCAAAAAACTATCCAATATAGTTAGTTCCATGGTATGGATTCAATGATTTGAGAGAGGACAAAGGGGACTATCAATTTCATTCTTTTCCTCCAAACCACGAAAGACGGAGTAATATTGTCATGTGCCGTTGTTAAGATGTCCTTGCCAATACTCTAGGTCATTGTGCATAAAATATGAGGCATTAATGAAACAAAGTCAAAACACATGCTGCCTGTCAAAATCAGAAGAAAAGGTACCATATTGAGGCTAGTGTCTTTTTGCTCTTTCTAATTTAACGTCTGCCCCCTCCCGTGGAAGCAGGACTCCTATAGAAAATATGTGATCATATAAATGCTACAAAATACTAGATAGAAGTGCTTGGTTATAGAATTATAGGGATCTGAAGGTACTGGTTTGAGTAATTTTAGTTTGTCATTCTAACATATGTTAAACGACATACCTGGAATCATAGTGTGGTTCTCTTTTAGACTCTTCAAACCGTGGAAGTATTTAAATCAGGAATTTGAAGAGAGAAAACAAGGAAAGATTAACTAAAGCCGTGGAGCCTCTACTTGGTGCAGTTCAATAAATTAGAGTAGAAAATTCGTTTCAAAGATAAGATACGACAACTTTATATATATCAACTATAAAAGTGAAATTTGATAAAATTATGAGAAAGATGTTTCAAAGTCCAATTTCTCCTTCTTGGATGTATCAATACTTTTAAGACCATCAAATCTGATTTTTGAAATTGTTGAGAGTATAAGTACAGTTAAATGAATATATACTAACTTCTCCTTTTATATTGAACTAACCATTTTCACCGCCTATATCCTATTACACTAATTCTACACGAAAAGTTAATAATTTTATTCAGGTCTACTTCTAGTTTAATTATAAGACAATAATGAACAAATACATAAAAATTAGTATCTTTCAACAACCAGCGGTAGGATTGAGACCATACAAATATGGTTACTGTAAAATATCTACCTATTTCAATTAATAAACCAAAATATTTTCATAAGACACTAAGTTATGGAGACAGCTATTGCCAATTATATACTTCAAGATTAAAATATTAAAATAAGTAAAATTGAATATTAAAAAAATTTATTCAACCGAAAAAAGATTCAAAATAGAAATAGATAGTATCAACAAATTTTGCAACGTTATAAGAATTCAACTTTAAAGGCCCAACTTGGACAGAAGTTCTAAATGAAGAAAGGGAATGTTGTGGTAACATTCACAAGTAAAGGTTCTTGTCTTGATCTAAACATGTCACTAGGACTTAGTGGTCTAAGAAGGAAGAACTTGGGGTAATTTTTCTAGATGGTATAAGTGATTAATTTTAGAAGTATCTTTCTATCATATCAACAAAATGGTAAAATAGGAAGCATTTTTTCTCCTGGCCACTAAATGACCTAGTAAACCAAGATAAATCTGGTTCAGTTGAAGGGCTCCTTGTATGCTTTACCCACGTCAAGCAGTTAATAAAATTATCAAATTTTTGACACATGAAGTGATAATATTTTAGTTTTGAACAACATCCAACAGCGATCAGCATCTTTTCTTAATTCATGAGTTCAATAAGACAGTATCTACCTGCATAGCCAACAGAACCTTTTGAATTTCACTAAGCTCCTTCTCCAGAATGTCTCCGTGCACTGATAATGATCGAATGGCCTCAGAGTTCTTCTGAGCCAATGCTGCACTCTGTATATGACAAGCAGAAATTTAAGTTCCAGAATGTTTGAAGATCCCTATACAGATCCCACAGGCCTGAACCCCCAGAAAAAAACAGAACATACATGCAAATGAGTTGTCGATGACAAGAGTAATCAAAAAATTAAAGATCTATTTTATGAAGAAAAAATTCATTCTTTGGCCCTTCCAAAATGTAGAACTTTTCAGAAGTCATAGGCAACATATTTGATTTCTTCTAAATAGGACTTATTTGGGTTATTCTTGTTAGTAGAAATGTGATAGAACCAACTCAGCCAGTAATTTTTATTTTGTTGAAGTGAACTTTTGGTTTTGGAGCAAATACAGCTCATCAAAAGAATGACTACCAAAAAACCAAATGCCTTGCAATTTCTATAATGTAATTCATACATAATCTTCTAGCGAAAGTACCCCAAAATTCTTCAAAAAATTTAAGAGAGCATTGAAAACTTGAAAAAATTTCCAATTTTATATGTTTAGTAACCTTTTGGAGAACTCTAGGGAAATTCAGAAGAATTTAAGGAAAACTTCGAAAAGATTACGTTCCGAATTGTATAACCTCACTAAACTACTAACTTTAAACAAACCAAATTATGCCAGGCATTCGATTGATTAAAAGAATCTAAAAATGGTGTTTCAAGAAAGTGTAGAAGGCTTACATTGAATTTGTCTAAAGGGAGAAACAAATGAAAGAACGATTTCCAAAGAAGAGAAGAACACAGAAAATAATTCAAAAAACAAAAAGGGAAGAGTCAATACAACAATCAGGTTACCAACAATTTTGCACATAACTTGTATCAATAAAAGAAAACGTGAATAAGGTAATGGTCATTGCTTTCTATAATTTATAAACTGCCTATTGGCTTTACAATCTAATCAATTCAATCTTTACAAACAACAATAATAAATTTAATTATAATTTCAATTTCAATATTTATGTTGAACATGACGTCGTCGGTGAAGGGAAAATTTCCTGTTTAATAAAATAATTTTTGAAATTGTCAAATTTTATCTCGATGGACTCTATGGAAGCAATTTGTTTACTGATAATAACAACGATGATAAAGACATTGATGTTGATGATGATCTAAGTGAATTAGATGCAAATCAATTTGAGAACCGGGAACCCCTAGAACAACCTGAGTAACTTACTGGTCGTATGGACTAACAAGAAACAAATACATGATTAGACTTAAGGACAAAGCGAGAAACACTGAGAGAAAACATGTATTAGTTTGTGAAAAATACTTGTCTTCTGTTATTATTTATGTGGGCAAATGAGAAAATCAGAGAAACTAATAATAAATGTTATGCTGAATAATGTCTTCCTCTATCCCACGAGCGTCGAGTTTGCCAAACCTACATGACTTGTGTAATTAATCTTATTCTGGTTCCATTTCCTAATAACTAATGGCAAACCTCTTGAATTATCTAAGTAACTTATTTACACCACCCACCAACTTGTCAAACTCAATTTAGCAATCCATCAATTTCCCAAAACACAAACACTTAAATTAAGAATGTAGAGTAACTCATCATTCTATAAAACAAGAGGTCATATAATATAAAACTTAGCTGCATACATATAAAGAGAAGCTCTTTTAATGAGAAAAAGACAAGCATAAGCTAGGTATTTCATTTAAGAGCTCATCCTATCTATATCCCCACGAATCATATTCCCACTTGTATTACATTTCCTTAACCAATATGAATAAATGAATTCCTAACTGAATGCCAACAAGAACAAGAACTACAAGAACATCACAAATTACCTCAGCAACGGGCTCCTTGAGAGCCTTTCGGTTGACCCGAAACCGATTTCCAAGCTTCTCCAGCTGCCTCGATAAAACTCGAATAATTGTCGAGGAGCTTCGCACAGCCTCCTCCACTTTCTCCACCCTCTCCAACAAATTTACCCCGGAAGAAGAAGCCCTCGATAATCCAACCCCACAAATTCTCCTCCATTGCCGCCGCCTTATCACGGCTCCGACCACTACGCCACTCACCAAAACCACACACTGCCATACCAAAATCTTGCTCCCAAGCCACCCTACAACCCCCTTCTGCGTACCATAGATAACCGCAAAGTATATCGAACTCATAGCCGACGATGCAAGGCAAAGAAATTCAAGAACTGAAAGAAGTGCATCGAAATTATACTCACCACCGATGCCTCCGTTACTGTTATCTTGCTTCCGTGCGGTTTCAAACGGTTCTTGAAATGATGCTTTAACTTTTTCAATGTACAAAAGGTGATTGTGGGTAAGGAAATTTTGGGAATCTGGGAAATGGATTTTCGAATTCGGGATTAAACATGCGAAATTGGAGGATTTTAAGAAATGGGTTCGCGAAAGAGTGGTATGAGATGACCTAGGATTCTTGTTCGTGAAAAGGGTTTGAAACGTAAGGGACATTGTTTCTTCCTAGAATAAAATTGATCGTTGGGTTGATGTGCGTCAGGACGTTTGGATTGTAAAGAATATCATGGTTTTGGATCTAGAAAATATCAAATTGGAACTTGGAAGAGGGATGTGAAGCTGAAATGCTTCCTCAACTGGAGAACGAATCAGGTTGAGCTGGGCAGGTGTGTGTGTCTGGTGGGAGGGAGAAGGAGTGGAGTGGGTTAACCGTAGGGTAGGTTTCGATGAGCTCAACGGTTGGCGCCAGGGAATCGACCGTAGCATTGTAACAAAAGCGAGACAGATATAGACGTTGAACCCCAACTTTGAGGGTTTCACTGTCCCGTCCTTAGAGTATTGTGTGGGACGTAAATTACGGAATGTATTTCAACAGATTAAGAAATAAGAGTTTGTCTGTACACTCATACCCACAAAATGTTCAATTTCATATTTCAAGAATCGAATCATCATACTGCGACTGTCAGCAAGTCTGAGACTATCTCACTCCTGTCCTTCACACCACTGGAATATGCTCCGAGGACAAAAAAAAGCTAGACAAATATAATTTCACTCATGATCAACGAAGTTCAAACAAAAAATTTTCAACTTTGATCACCAGAGTCATTTTATGACACAGAAAAATAGTCTGCAACACGCTCCTCCATTATATCCGAACCATCAATTGTTCCCAAAAGTCCTTCCTTCGTTTTCGCCTTTAAAGTGAAGCCCATGCTTAGGTGCGATTCTTACAAGATTTTAAGCAAAAATTTGACAACGACAGATGGATCCTTTTGTCGTCATATTTGACTCAAGATTAGGCAAATTACCACAAATATCATTCTCCCAAATAGAATGAATAAATGTCAAAAGGGTACATATATAATTCAGTTACAATTTGGTCAATAAGTATGGCTGCTAACATTGTACAACGATACAAATTTTGCAAAAAAGGACTAAGTAATATTATATAATTCGTCACTCCTACTGACACACGTCATCCAATTGGCAGTCAAGCATTCATGTTGACAAAGACTTTTAAAGTCATTGACTCATCCCAACCCGCTAAAATACCTATTCTAGCATGAATCATGCTATATATACAATTTAATTTGATAATATTGAATGACAACTCATAATTGGCAACATTGTATTCATCCATTTGAAAAACTATTTTCTAAATCAATGGCTCAAATTTTGACAACACCAACTGTTACGCCCCGCACTAAAACACTTCGGCACACCTGCACGAGCTCACCAAACCACTTCGGAACTCCTGTCCCACTCCTCTACGATGTGCCACGTGTACAAAGTGGTTCCGAAGTGATGTCAACTTCAGCAGATCTCCAACTTAACTTATCGCAAGGCACACACCACAAACTAAATCTACTGAAACAACCGAAGCGCCCCTTGTAACCGAAGGGGTTGGCACTCTGAGGTGCTCCCTTAACAGATCCCTCAGCCACCAGTTTCAGAAGTATATCTATTTCAGGATCCTCTATGGATGTGACATCTCCATGGGTTTAGTTGATATGACATCAACTTTATGTCAACTCAACTTAGGAGTATTAATAACATGCCCACTCTAGACTCGGTTAATTGACGCCTACAAGCGGACGTCTCACGCCATCAGAAGCATACACATGTCCCACATCTAACGGTGCTCCTCGTCTATAAATGTTCAAGGTTTAACAAGAGACAAAGCTAATGAAACTCATATTAAACTTAGCTCTCCACATTCAAGCATTATATATTCTCCTCCCCACTCTCTTGCACAATTTCGGCAGCATTCTGATCATCGACCACTGACTTGACCATCAGAGTGTATGCGACCGCCACCACCCCTGTTGGTTCCGGCTGTGTGCTCCTGACCACGTGTTGTTGTGCGCAGGGAGGAATACGTGAAGTGGCTCTCGGTTGGCCACGTGGAGGTCCAATTCGCGAAGTCAACAAATTGGCACCATTGCTGGGGATACTTCCAACCAAAGAATTTCCCGTTTAGCATCGGAAAAAGCCACCAGGAAACTATTGACTTACCTTGAAAAAGGGATGTTTTTGAAAGAGAACCAAGTCAACTTACAGTCTAATTTCATCACACCCTTGAAAAAGGAGTGGGAAAATGAGTTATAGCAATGAGGATGCAAATCTTGAAGTACATAGGGACGCCTCTAAAGAAAAGGTGCTCCAGACCAATGTCACGCATTGGAGACCCCATCACCAACATCATCGAGGTGACAAGACCCAGCACTCACCGAAGGGATGGCTCAAATAGCTGTAGGCATGAGAGATATTGCAGCCCAGAATCTGGCGATTCATGAATTCTTCATACAAACCCAAGGTCAGCAAGGCTTTCCAATGCCACAAGGGCTGTACCCAGCTCAAGGATAAAACCCGGCATCTCATGCCCGAGGTCAGTCAAGCAACCGCAGAGAATGCCCCATTGAGAAAGAAGTGGGAGTGGATGTCACTTCCTATACGCCAGGTACTCACGTGGCGGAACCACAGCTGGGAGAAAACTTTCCATCGGAATACGAGCCTCAGAGGTCGGTTAGTGTCTTTGACTGAATAGGGCGAAATGCTAGCAATAGGATTTGCTCCATACAGAGGTCAGCTCAGCATGTGCAGGAGCAGAAGTAAGAAGAAGAACAAGAGGCACCCCTCCTCCTAGAAATAGGCGGGAGAGGAGAAATCTAGTGGATTGAGGTAGTCGGGAAGGGGCAACTCCACCTCTCCAAAATGCGTCAGAAGGCTCTGAAGGGCCATGTCACTCCTACGAAATTGATGACACTAATGACAACCTCCCTTTCCCTAGAGAAATCCGAAGATCCCCCGATGCCTGTAAACTTCATGCCCCTAAAATTCCAAGGTATGAGGGAAGGGGGAACCCACAGAAACACCTCACTAAGTACATGACACAGATGAGCCTCAGAGGAGCCTCGTCAGCACTAAAATGCAAGGCCTTCTACCTAATCCTTACCAGAGCTGTCGAAGTGTGGTACCGCAGGTTACCACCTCTAAGCATCAGAAGTTGGTCAAATTTGAAGAAGGCATTTCTGAACCAATACCTCTCACGAAGGGAAGGAGAGGACCCAGTGCAACGCCTTCAGGATATGAGGCAAGCTCCTGGTGAGACGCTGAAAAGCTATCTCGCCAGATCTACTGATGAAATCACATACTGCGAACAAGTAACCGATAGAGAGGACTTCTCAGCACTGAAAGGAGGCATCAACATGAACACACTGTTCTAGAGAAACGTACGAAGCAAGAATTCAAGCACTTATGACAAAGTGGTTGAGATGATGAGGGTAGAAATCATCAATGAAGAGATGATTGACCACCGAAACTATGCAGCTCAAGGACTTTCTCCACCTCATAGGTAGATAGGTCAAGGACTAGCGGCACACTTCGTCATCCAGCAATGGACCCAGGCAAGTCACACAGTAACCCCCACATCCAGACAGGCATTAGTTTCAGCCACTCTGAATGCAATGCCGGTGCTGACATACGAAAATGCTCCTGCCGAAGTAGGGCCATCCAGAGGAATAAACAACCGACACAAGAAGAAAAAGCAAGAAAACAGGCCCCTGGAAGGGATAAAGTTATGCACATTTCACAAACTCTATGGTCATGACATCAGCGAATGCAGAGACGCGCTTCGGTCCTCAAATCGAAGCAACTCACACTCCTCCAGGAGGGATCATTATCATGAACACTCTCGTAGGACCACTTCTCCCAATAGGAAGTCAAGGCAACAGCGGGATCAATCCCCTCGAAGGAGAGAAATAAGAGATAGATTTTGAGGATAATCCAGGCAAAGGAATCAGGTCCCAGCCATCGGAGGCGATACTATCTTGGAAATTGATACAATCATTGGAGGAGCCCACATCAGAGGCAATACCAGGAATGCACAGAGGAACTATACAAAGGAATCGAAAGACCCACCATTGATTACATACATTGCCGACCAATCCTGCACTAACAAAATGGCTCAAATCACCTTCTCTCAAGAAGATTCGCTTGGTGTTCATCACCCCCACTGTGATGTGTTGGTGGTAAGGGCCGTTGTGGCTCGGAATGGACTTAAGCGCGTGCTGGTTGACAACGGAAGCTCGATAAATATACTACTCGGATCAACCTTTGACAAGATGCAAATTGAGCATGGCTTGGTTCCCATGGTCGACCCAATATTCGGATTCACTGGGGATAGCATCATCCCACAAGGACGGATCACTTTGCCTGTTGAGATGGGATCAACACCCCTAGTGGCTCATCACTTCATGGAATTTTTAGTGGTGGATCACAGGTCAGCTTACCACGAGGTATTAGGCCGACCTGCACTGAAAGACCTTTGGGCAGTGACCTCCATTCACCACTTATATATGAAGTTCCCAACTGAGCATGGGATCGCGATGATCCGAGGAGATCAAATGGGCTCGAATTCATGTTACCTCAACTCCTTACGAAAGTTTGAGCCCCGCACTGTGAATGTGATAACCGATGCAACAAATGAATTAAACACGAATGTAGAGATGCTTGGCGCTCTTGAACAATGGCAGACCCCCGAATAGGGAGAAGATGTTGACATGATCGAGGCCCCTTGAAGAGGGCACCCTCTTGATGAATTAGACCTTTGGATCATTGAGTCTTAATCGAACGTAACTCCTATGGAAGAGCTCAAAATTTTCCCTACAAACCCTTAAAACCCTACTCAAGCCTTGGGAATAGGGAAAGCTTTGCCCCTTGAGATGAAAGAAGAACTGATGAACTTCCTAAAAAGAAATTTAGACATCTTCACATGGAAGCACAAAGACATGGTGGGAATAGACCCAAGGGTCTGCTGCCACCACTTGAATATCAATCCCACTTTCACTCTGCATCGACAAAAGAGGCAAGCACTCAATCCAGAAAGATATGAGGCGCTGAAGGAAGAAGTCGACAAGCTAAGTCACAATGGCTTCATCAAGAAAGCCATTTATCCAAAGTGGATATCCAACCTAATGCTTGTAAAGAAATCCAGCGGGAAGTGGAGGGTGTGCATTAACTTTACCAACTTGAACAAAGCTTGCCCAAAGGACAGCTTCTCCATTCCAAGGATAGACCGACTCGTGGACTCCACTGCTAGACATGAACTCCTGAGCTTCATGGATACTTATTCAAGGTATAACCAAATACGCATATTTCGACCTGATGAAGAGGTCACATTGTTCATAACAGACCGAGGATTGTGTTGCTATAAGGTGATGCCCT